TGGAGTAAAACTCACCAAACAGACCACCTCTGAATTATCTGGTGGATTAATTATCTTGTGAGCACGATGTTCGCTTGCTCACAGTAAATAAAGTACCGCCACTTTCTTTACTTCATCCACCATTAAACAGAGACCAGCAGAGGAAAACAACAGAGGTGCTTCCCAACAGTCCGAACACGTCTGACCTGAAGGAGCACAAGCAGCTAACTTGAAGCATTGGGCGTGTTTTGGATGCTCAAAACGTAGCTTGAATACATTTTATTTACTTTAACTCAATCCTCTTTTGCTTATTTGATTTAAACATATTTGCCTTCCATGGACCTCCATCACACAATGTTTCTAGCAGGGAAATGACATCAATAGAAACACATGGAGCTGGATTTTAATTTGTGCAATAAGACAAAACAGTCTTGTTGTTTTCAAGAGTTTTCACCTTAAAGAAATTAGTTAGACAACTGATGTTACAATACAAAKAGTTGGATGTTGTCTTGATATTTGATAAATTTTATATATTGAGAAATAAATATGCTAAAAAAAAAGTTTATTATTAAAAAATACAACAACAACAAACGCAAAGTACCAAAAATTGGTACCGTTGAGTACCGGTACCGATTCCGTGGTACTGGATATTGGTACCGAATAGATTCAAATGTCAAAGGTACCCATCCCACGTCTGAGGCCAAAGAACAACAGGAGAAAACTGAGACATCGATGGAACATGACGTACAAGTGAATGATAAGAAGATTGCTGCAGAAACAGAACCACAGAGAGGGGAGTTACTTCAAGCTGCTGAACCAGAAGAACATCTGGATTCATCAACATCACAAACAGAGAACCCGGAAAAAAGGTTCCCCCGACCTACAACTGGAGAACATCTGACTACCTCTTCTTCTTCTCCACCATATCATCAACCGAGATGGAGAATGTAAAACCTACACCCAAGAAAATAACAGATTTGGAGATCGCATTGAGGACACTGTGGAACAAGAGGAGGCTTTACAAGAGTGGAAAAGTTACAAGACTGGTCACCCTGATGATGAATATGTTTATATCTGGGAGGAATAAAACATTACATTTCTGGGGTTGGGAAATGTTAAGAAATATCCTGATCTAATAAATAGATGTTAACACTTCTCTATGAAGTTTTCATAAAATTTCCTTATAGTTTTATTTAATATATTTATGTATGTCAAGAGAGGGGTTGCAGGAAATTGTGTAAATGATTAACTAAATGTTAGATGCAGTTTCGTATTTTTATACGTTCTGATCATTGCAGCCACAAGGTTAAAATAGACTAGGGCTGCCACAAACGATTATTTTTATAATCGATTAATCACCGATTATTTTTTTCGATTAGTCGACTAATCAGATCATATGTTAACTGAATATAAAACATACAGCTTATCGTGCCAAACTGCAGCTGCTATTATATAACCATGGTTAGATTTTAGCTATATGCTAACTAAAAATAATTGCTGTGGAAGGCAAGTTCTGCTCTGCAGATGTTGCACAGGTTTCTCTTTCATTTTCTTAAAATGATCCCACACTTTTGAGCTCCGTTGCCAGGTAGCCATGATACCAGAGCCTGTCTGTATAATGTCTTGTGACGTCCACGGCCTACCGCAGTTACCACTACTGTGCATGTGTGTCAAGGACAGAAAGGCAGATGTGGCAGTGGAAAGTGTTAAAGCAGTTTGGAGAGAAAAACAAAGAACAACCAAAAAAAAAAAGAAAGAAAACGATTAATCGATTATTAAATTAGTCATCGATTATTTTAATAATCGATTAATCATCGATTAATCGTGGCAGCCCTAACAAACAAAGAGTTGGTGTATCAAAAGTTAGTTACGTTCTACGTCTGACGTAAAAGGTAACACCTCCAGGCATGTAACCAGGAAGAGATGTACATTATAAGTTTAATTTATTATTATTAGAGGGAAGTTTAGAAGTGTTTTGCATGTCTGTTTGGATCCAGCCTGGACAGACTGGGCTGCTTTGTTTGGGTTTTAGCTCAAGGCCTTATGCTGAGGCCTGTGCTGAATGCTTTGCTGGGAAACTGGAGACAGAACACAAGAATAAAATCCAGTATAAAACGCTTTATCTCACAGATTTTGCTTATTTGGGTGAGTTCTGAGGTATTTTGGCCGCTGCCTGTATCGGCCGTTACCTGCTAACAGAGAGAGGAAAAAAGAAAAGTGAGCTGCAATGCGCGGCGAAACAGATTCACTAAAACAGAAACGTCYTCCAAAAATATGAAGCGGCCTTAGGGTAACGTTTAGGACAGAACAATGTCTCAGCGGTTCCTCATTTATCTGAAGAAGAGCTTTTCTGTAAGTTATGTTGGCACTCGATGGGCTGGATGTGTAAGAAAACATGTGAAGACCACTTCCTGTCTGAGTCGCCTCACAAACAGTGAGCTGAAACACACACTGCCAACTCCTCAACAATCTGAAGGTGGGAGTTTATTCAAGATTTTGTTGTCGTGTGTGCAGAATCAGATATTCTGTCAGAAAAAATGAAACAGCTGATTCTGTTGATTGATAAAGCGCCGTTGACAGGAGGCGTGGAGGTGGTTCCTTCCATAGAAATAAATAATGAGYTTAGATAGACATCAACATCCTTTTTAATAAGCAAGTGTAGTGGTCACCTAGTAAAGACGATATTAACGAAAATAAGAAGAACCAGTGAATTTCCTTATAATTTTTATTATAAGGTGTAGTATAAATCACTACATATTGGTAGTCATATGATTCTCTACACAAATATGTACAAATTGTTGCTGTTTGTAGGTTTTATGATTCTTTATGACATATTTATGTGAAGTTTAATTCTAAAACTGTTATTTTACAAAAGGATAAGTTTATTAATGTGAGATTCTATGATTTACACGTAATGTTTTTTCTTGTTAAATACCTTCTTATATACTGCAAAAATAATTTCATGTTCTACTGAACCACAGATATTTGTCATATTAATGAACGTGAAATAACAGACATCAATTTTTTATTTCTGTAGCTAATTATTTGTTTAATTATTGTTCAGTCCCTTAATAATTACACACGTTTTAGGGTAATAAAACAATCGTGATAATAAATGAGATTGGACGATATGAAAAAWATGAATTGTGATCATTTTTTTTGCCATATCGCCCAGCCCTAGTGCATTCAGCAGACTTTTCAGTATTCAATTTATGCTTTTTTGTGACCAGATAATACAAACTCATTAAAACKTTAGCATGAAAAGTACACAACTATATGTCTTTCTTCAAAGAATTATTGGCTTTTAATTGGATCTTTGTTAGAGTGCGTAATGACAGTTTGACCCTGTGAGTATTTCTGACTGACAGGTACTGAAATGCCTGGATTATGTGCTCCGTTGGATGGGAGCTCAGCCAAYCACAGGACGATGTGCACTGCAGGAGCATGTGGTCACTCAGCAGTGACATGACACATGTCCTTTAAAGATACTAATGGTGACACCTTAGTCTGTAAACCAGGTGCACCCACTCAGAAACAAACAGGGGTCACCTGGCCCTCACCTGTCCCCGCTGACTGAGCCAGAGATCTGCAGGCCTGACTTAATCAACCTGCTTGTCAAAGCAGGCAGCAGCAGGGTCACGAGCAGATTTGTGCCAAAGAAGCAGCGCTAAAAGATGAAACATGGAGATAAACGGCTGCAGAGGATAAACCAGAACCTGAAGATAAAAAGCTAAATGGGTGTTTGACAGAAGCATGTCTGAGTGACGGAAAACAATTACTGTGCAGGCTGCTTGTTTTAGGGAAAGTCAGCTTTAGTAYGACAACATAAGACATTAATTTGTTATTTAATGATTTTCTGTATTGTCGTGTTACAGCTTGAACTAATTTATCTGATGTTGAGAAGCTACAGCTGTCAAGTGCTACTTTCAGCTACTCACACACCAAATTTGAGCTCAATATCTGTCTGAGTTAGACATTTTTGTTCTCTAATGTTGCTTCACTGTGACAAAAATCTTGAAAGTGTTGAACTCTAGAGCAGTGGTTCTCAAACTTTTTATCTTCTGACCCACAAAATATCCATGGCAAAAACTTGTGACCCCAAATATTACTATTCTGAGTACACGAACTTTGTTAATAACCCTAAAAACACAGGCTTTTTGACAATCTAAACAGCTTATACACAAATATAAATACTTATTTTGTGTTTTTGTAATATTATAGGGAAAATATTACATCAGCAATCATTTTATTACCCTTTAAATTGATTTCTGGAGATTATCCAAGGTGCTTCATGACCCATAATTGGGTCCCAAGCCCAACTTTGGGAACCAAAGTGCACTGGTTCCAAAACTTTTCAGCTTTTGACCCAACAAAATAACAGTAGCAGAGACCTGTGCCCCCAGCTATTTTTGGATGATAAACGTTTGTATCAGGTCAACTAAACATGGGCATAGTAACAATATTTTTATACTACATTTATCCATTTTAAATACACTAACCTCACTCCTTTGTAACAACTAAGGCAAAAATGTAATTAATTCAGAAAATCTTTTCAGGACCCCACTTTGGGAAACACTGCTCTAGAGGTTGAACAGTTACAGATGTAATCATCCTGTGATTACTTTCTGATAGTTTCTTTACAATTTGCCCTGTGCTGCTATAGCAGACAGACACACGCAGACAACACAAGTGTGTTTTTGTTAGGCACCTTTCTTTTAAGGTTTATAAAAAATTACGCTACACGTTTAACAGTTTTCATCCTTTTCCAGACTCAAATATTTTAAGATGCACGAGGATATAAAAATAACCTATTTTTTTAGACAAAACAGTCCAAACTCACTAGTTGCCATTTGAACAGTAAGTTTGTTATATTCAAACAAGAGATGTGTTTGAGTCAAGAGGCTGTTTTCTATCAATAGACCTGTGTAGAGCTTAAACACACCTATAAATATGTGATGACACATGAGGTGAGGAAACAGTGTCCATGTCCTCCTGTCTATAATAAGCCTTCAGAGGGTTACCTTCAGGGCGCACTTCTCTCCCGTCTTCTTACTGAAGCACTCCAGGACTTTACCGTTGATCCCCAAACCCAGAACCTGGCTGGAGATCTTATAATCATCAGTCACCGCGTTGCGTTTGATCTCCAGTTTGGGATAAACCGGCAGGGGGAAGTGTGTGGACCCGGTGTCCGTCACGGTCTTCTCCTCGGCCGGGGGCACAGGCTGCTGCTGCTGCTGCTKCTGGTCGTCGGGCTGACAGTCCGGCTCGGTTTCTTCAGKTTTTGCTTCTTGCTGCGGGCTTTCTTTCTCTTCTCCATTCTGGAGCATCTTCACGCGGACCTGTCGTCCCCGGCGGCGCTCGGAAASTTTCGCACTCCTGTTGCGTGTGCCGCCGAAAGGTTCAGCTCCAGATGTTTAACCGCACATCCGCTCGTCCCGAACAGCAGGAAAAAAAATAAAACTCAAAATAAGTCGTGGCTCATTTGTAATTCTGTTTGACAGCCCGCAGTTTATAAACTTTTAACACATCCGGGAGCTCAGAACTGCTCCCACACTGTGAGAGGACACGGTCATTATGGAAGCCGGTGATCTCAGCTCCAGTCGCGTTCACGTGGCCCGCCCTGTKGGTTTAAGCTCCGCCCGCTCAACCTGTGCTGCGGCGGCCACCGGAAACTCGGTTCCTTCTCYGTGGAGGAAAACTGAACCGAAGGTAACAGTGGAAAATATTAATAGTTACTCTAAAGAAAACAGAAGACAGCAGAGGCGCCACCGGGAGGGGTTCAATGGGCCTTTTCGCTGAAATACTACTGGAAAGGCCTCAGTAGATWCTAGGCGAGATAGGTGGTCGCCATCTTGCTAGGTGCTAAGCGGTACCGCCTTGTGCGTATGTTAAGTCTTCTGCCCAAAACACTGAGAAATAGCCTTATTTGACATTGCAGTGGTCTGCAACTCGTGTCTCCTTTTTTCTGCTCTGCAGTGCACATTAGTTTGGACCATTAAAAATAAGGAAATAGGAACAACTATTTGGAATAGTTCTCTTCCATTTTTTCTGCAATATGTAAGACAAATAAATGTTATCAAATATGTGTTGGTTTATTTATCATTTATTTAGTTTATCTTTCAGCCATACTGTGTGCTTTCTCTGAAAATACAGGGAAATTATACATTTAACTTATTGGTTGCTGTGAAAAAAAATCATAAATGCAGTTTAATAAACAAAAATCTGTTACAAGTGGGCAGTCAATCTGAGATTAATGAAAACCAGAAGTAAAGACTTGTCTTGCATAAAAACTGTGAAGCAGAAGTAAATGAAGGCATCAGTTATTGGTCACAAATACCCAGTCATAAAAGTCCTTTTATTTCTTTGTTTGTTTACAAAATAATTTACCAGAATGCAAATATGATATGATTTATTATTTCATAGTGGGGTATTTATTAGTTTTCAGCAAATATAGTAAGTTACTCATATGCCTCCATAAATTATTATTAAATGAGTTATACACAAAATGTTTTTCCTCATGTGATTTTGGTGTTTTCTGATCTACAATGTAAAAGTACTGATAAATGTTAGAGATCTTTGCCCACTTCAAAGCTCATAGCCAAGAGCTTTGCCTTTTGACTCACATCTTTTTTTCACCATGACCCACCAAAGCAACCCTCTCATTACTGAGGATGAGGCCCCAACTTGTCAATCCATCTTTTGATGAAAGTCAGTCATTGTGAGACAAAGTGCGTGAATGAGGCAGGTGGAACCGTCAGGCTACAAGGAGCAGAGGTCAGAAAGGTGCAGGACTTCACATTTTTAGGGTCAACTGTCCAGGAAAATGGAGTGTGTTAAAGAGATGATGAAGAGTTCAGGTAGGAYGGAGAAAAGTTTCAGGACTGACTTGTGACAAAAGGGACAACAAAGTTCAAAGGAAAAGTTTACAAGAGAGTAGTGAGACATGCCAGAGGAGGAACAGTGGGAGTATTTGCAACAT